CTTCTGAAGCGGGTGTTCCAGGAATGGATGGAAGGAGGCCAAGAGTCCACACTGTGTCACTCACTTCTCTGAATTACCTTTCTCCCCTCGATTAAGAACATTTGTAGCTGCTGACTTTGTCTTCTTTTGCTTTTTTTCCCTATAGAATAATGATGTGTTACCTCTTGCTCCTTTTAGAGACAATTTCTTCCTTAATTAAAGGTCATATAATGTCTCTTTGCATTTGACAGTCACATAAATAATTTCTGTCCTTGTTATTCCCTTCATAATGCTGTTCACATTAATTAAATTCTGATTAATTTCCACATTTTCCCAAAGAAAAACCCATGGTGGTTTTTTGTGTGACACTTGAATTCACGAGGATGTTCACAATCTTTATCTATTATATTCATGATATTAAATGTTATGGCTATCGCCTTTGTAATCTTCACAAGTAATTGTTATAACAAGATGGGATTAAAGACTTTTCTACATGTGACCAGAGACTGTGCAACATAAATATAATTACTATTCTATGGCTATAACTTTAAGCAAATTACTTTGGCCTCCTAAATCTCAGATTGATTATCAGCTTCCTAGATCTCAGGTTGAGGCTTCTTATCACCTGTGAAATTGCTGATTTTATCCTAAACCAGGCTGCTGGAAGCTTTCCACTGAAGGTTTAGTTTCTCAAACAGAAACCTTTGCCATCACTAATGTTTCATGGTTCTTGGAGACAATACATATTATGCTATTTGATCTTCAGAACCACCCTCTGATAGAACTACTTATTTTACAAATAAGTACTTATTTTACAAATAAGATAACCTTATTTTACAAATGGGAGAAAAGCCCATGTTCACACAGCTACTAAGCCCATAAACTGGACCTGGGTTGGGTCCAGCATTTTTTACTCTAAAACCCATTCTTTGCCTGCATTTCCAGATCAGTCTCATTCACTTCTTGTTTCTACGTTGAAATCTTATCTGATAAGTCTTAACCACACAGAGACCATCTCACTGAGTTCTCTGCAACCACATTTCTGTTGGAATAGATTACCTTACTTGTCAATGTCATGGCACCAGCACAGTTTCAGCTCCTGTGAAACAGGGACCTACTACTTCCCCCATCACCCTATGTACTGCGATGGTTGTACGTTATGAGCTAACCATACCAAATTGTTATTACTGCCTAAAAATAATGTTTCTTCATCAGTCATATAGAGGAAATACACCCTTCATTAAAATAAGAAGTTACTGACCTCAGGCATCTGTCTGGAAATACCCTATTCATACCCCCCAAGGCAATTAAGTTGACAGGAAATCTGAAATGATTACTGCCATTGCAAGAAGTTAAAACAGTTTTGTTTTTTTAAAATTATAAATAGTGAAAATCTCAGATAACTTTGGCAAGACCAGGCAAATATACATGTTTCTATTACATGCTGACAGATCTTAAAAAAGAAAGAAAGAAAGAAATTGTAAGATATTTATCCAGATACTAGAGGCCATGTGCACAAATTTGTGCACAGGTGGGGTCCCTCGGCCTGGCCAGCGATAAGGGGCGATTGGGGCAGATTGGGGCCAGTCAGCGGGGGGCAGGGACCGTGGGAGGTTGGCTGGCCGCGGAAGGTTGGCTGTGGGAGTGCACTGATCACTAGGGGGCAGCTCCTACGTTGAATGTCTGCCCCCTGGTGGTCAGTGAGCAACATAGCGAACAGTTGTTCGGTCGCTTAGGCATATATATATATATATATATATATATATATATATATAACACATCATCAAATAGGTGAAAAGAGCAGTGCATCAAGTATGTAGGAGAGAAAGAATTGAACTGAGATAGACTGTGCACAAACTTGACCTATATCTAAACCAGGGGCATTATAAACATAAGGGTGTGAAAACAGAGGAAGCTAGGTGCTATGGAAAGCCAAGTGCTGCCAATGGTGACATCCTGACTTGCATATGATAAAGACATGTTCATTTTTACATGATAATCCTGCAGTAAGCTTATACTTGTGTGTTGTGTAAAAAACCTGAAGACCTTGAATTGGAAGATCTGGATGCAAGCCTGACAACATCTATCCAAATTAACTCTTAATCTCTATGAGCCTCATAAATTGCTCCCTTTATAAAATGGAAATGAATCATCCCATCCCAACTACCCTACGGAGTTAGGGAGGTTGCAGAAGAACATATATGAGAACATACTTGGTAAATCATGAAGCACTATATTACTATAAGGCTGAATTTTTAGAATTATTTGTCAATTACACAAATAACTGTAATTATTTGTTACCCTATTAGCTGTTTCAAAGATGTGTAGTTCTCCAACAAATGTTTTTTGAGGGCCTACTATGTACCAGTCCTATTCTAGGTGTCACAGGTATAGCAGTAAACACAGTAAAACTTCCTGCTTCCTGCGTACCTACTATGTGTCAAGCACAATGATGGAATAGAATATACACACACTGTTGTTGTGAAACTTATGGCTTAGATGGCAGCCTGGAGCCTGCCAAGTCTAAGGTGAATTATAATACAGCTAAGATAATGCTTAGAGGAGACACATAGCTCAGATTTGGGAGTCAGAAAGGCATCCTGAAGAAAGTACCACTTAAGCCAGAAAACAGAACACAGAATCGGGGGCAGGGTGGGTAATTTTCCCATTCTACTCTGCATTTTAGAGTATAGTGGTCCTGTCTGAGGGAGACATGTAAAACATAAGGGATCTAAAAATCATAGCACATGGTAAATAAGGAAATAACTAAAGATATTTAGCCTGGAATACTAAAGACAAACATAATTACCTAATTACAAATAAATTAAATTTATTTGATGTGATTTCAGGTAGCAAATTTCTATCAATAGACAAGTATAAATCTTCCTAAAATCCTTACTCCCACCTCTTCTATTTCCTCTGGGAATATCCTTCCCTCGGTACTTAACTAGCACCTCCTAACCTCCATTCCAACATTCTTTATCCCTCTTCCCTGCTTTATTTTTCTCCACAGCACATAACACCTTCTGATACATATATATTTACTTACCTATTATTTATTAATCTGCCAAGTCTCAAAATCATATGTCATGTGAAAGCGGGGATTTTATGTTTTGCTCATTGGTATATTTCAATTTCTAGAAGAATGTTTAGACCATAAATACTTATTGAATAAATGAATGAGAGTTGTCCAGAACATAAAATAGGTTGCCCCATAGAGCAGTTTATTTCTTACAGAAGGGCAATGGATAAAGAATAGAACCGGGTGGACCTATAACCTTTTTTTTTCTGATAAAAGGATACACACATCTAATTACTTCATTACCTCAAATAAGATGTGTAGACAACTCCGATCTTTTGTGTGTTCTTCTTACATTGGACCTAATCTTCAACTCTGAAAACTCTACTTAGCGATTCTAATTCTAATATGAATTGATATTCCATATCGACATAGACATAAACCCGTTTAGGATAGAAAAACATGCCAAAAATAGAACTTTTACAAGTTATAGTCAGAGTGTTAGCATGAAAGTAATTTACATTATCTAGGGCATTTCATTTAAGGTTATTCCCTCTGCTGTCTTTTCTGTCGTGCACATGATGAGACTGCCTTCCTGCAAGCCTGGTTTTCATTGGCTCCCCTTATCCTTTGACAACTGTTCTCCAGTCACCTGATTTTAAATATGGTGCCCTGGCCTGGGGGCAATGTTATCAGGAAATGATACACTGAGGACAAACAGGTTTTCTTTTCCTTAATTACTGATCTTCACAACATGCAGTCTCTCTTTTCTTCTTTGGGGCATGTATATATGTAGTATGCACAAAGTTGCCTTATCAAATAGTTACTGAATAGAGTATCAGAGAGGAAATTTACTTTTGAACAAAACATATTTGATTTCTCAGAAAAGGATACCGTCTCAGTGACAAGATTAAATTTATCTTGCAATTTCTAATTACATTGAAATACCAATACTTCTTACAGTTTCATTGTTAGCTTCCCTTTTCCCCACTATAGTTCATGCTAACAGTTTGGTATTAGTCTCAGTAATGATTGTAATGGTAGCAAACATTTCTATATTAACTATCATAGGAGCTAACATTTATGAAGATGCCTAGCACTGTTCTTGATATTTTATAAGCATGAAGTTATTTAACCTTTTACCAGCCCTTTGATTTAGGTACTAATATTGCCAATAATTCAGAGTCAAGGAAGCTGAAGGATAGAAGGGTTGAGTAAGTTTAGGCAGTTTGGTTTGCGAAGCCTGTGCTCATGGCCACAATGCTAGACCTTAAAACTTTCTATGGGTTTCCATTTGGATATGTGTTTGTAAAGCTTTGGATAACTATATATGCAAATAAGCTAAAATAATTGTCTCAGTCTATACTAAAAACCTTTATGGACAGAGGAAGACATGGTGGATGCCAGAAAGAAAATTATTATTTTCTTGGAGTCCTAAGAAATGTATTTAACTAAAGTGGTCAAGGTTAAAATATATGTTACTGTTTTTATTGTCTTAAATTTAAGTTATAAACATTTATTTAGGAAGCTATTTGTTGATATTTAGTGTCTTAGAGCAGCAGTTCTCAAACTATGTGGACCCCATTATGCTTTTTTAAAATTAGTGAGGATTCAAAAGAGCTTTTGCTTGTATGGGTTATATTTATAGATGTTTATTGCATTAGAAATTAAAACTAAGAATTTATTAAGTATTTAGTTATTAATTCAACAAAAATAACAATAATATACTCCTTACATGTTAACATAATATATGTTTATAAAAATAGCTACATTTTCCAAAACAAAAATTTAGTGAGAAAAATTATCTTGTTTTTTATACTTGCAAATATTTCAAATATTTGGCTTAAGAGAAGACCATTGGATTTTCATATATGTTTTCCCATTTAATCTATGGTAATATCACATACCTTGCAGTCTCTGGAAAACTCCAGTGTACACTTGTGAGAAAATGAGAATGAAAACATCAAATAATATATTCATATTTTGTGAAAATAGTACTAACCTTATAGACCTCCTGAAAGAGTCGTTGAGATGATCAGGGGTCCCCAGGTCACACTTTGAGAACTGCTGTTTTAGACTGACCAACTGGGAGAAAAACAAAATAAACCTTAGTGTTTCTTTAAGATAATTACATATGCCTTAGGTTCTCCTATTTCAGTTCCGTTTCCCCCCAGAACATTACAGTCTGTGATGCTGCAGTATTTGTAAAGAGTTTGGGAGAATTTCTCTCCTTTAAGAACATTTCTTCTATTCAAAATATAGTCAACAACCTTAACATATTCCCAGACTTGTTTTTATCTCTAATAACTTTTGTTTCAAAGCATGGAAATAAGTAAGTAGTGAGAAATTAAAAGTATTATTCATAAGTTAATTACAACATTTTGAGTTTTTTGTGGAATATTCTGGTTTTTTTTATGCAAGTGTAAGCTTCTCTTTCAAAAACTTTAACTTTTCTTATTCATCTATTCCTCATATTACCCACTTTGCAACAACCCATTTTCACTTGTCTTCATCAAAGGGGACCCTATAAAGCTCTGGGCTTGATCTGTAAAGCTGACTACTGTCTCAGTTCCTCAGGGCCACCAGACACTGATGTCCAGACCTCATTGCCTGACTGCGTTGGTAAAGAGGCTGAGTTCTGGATACCTTCTAGAGCCGATTTATTCATTTAGGGAAAGAGAAATAAAGTCTTGGCCTTATGAAACTGGCTTTCAGCTGGGGAGGACTGAAAATAAACAAAGATATACTCTAATGTTAGGTAGTAATGATCTCTAGAAAAAAGTTAACCAAGTTGTGGGATAGAGAATGACAAAGAAGGGGTTTCGGAAAGGTGGTGAGAGAAGGCCTCCCTTAGCAGGCAACATTTGCCCAGAGCTCTGGAAAAGTAAGAGAGAAGCCTATATCTGGGGCAAGAGCAGTCCTAGCAGAGGCCATAGAAAATGCTAGTTCCCTAAGGTAAGAAGAAACTTGGCTTATTTGCAGTTGAGGCAACAGCAGGAGCCAGTGTGGCTAGAGCCAAATGAACAAGTGGTAGAGATATAAGAACTGAGAGGTTGCTACAATTTATTCTAGGAGTGCCAGAAGCTACTTGAAAGTTTTGAGTAGAAGAGTGTCATGTTTAAAGAGGATCACTCCCAGTACACTTCCATCAGCCTAGGGGAGTGATGAAAGCAGAGAGACCAGTAGGTAGAAAGTGGCAAGTGGCTTTCACTGGGATCATTTTGGATGGTAGAGACCACAGTATTAGCTAATGGGTCAAAAATGGGATATATGAAAGAGAAAGTCACCAAGGAGTGGATTTTTCTATTGAGCAATTGGGTGGGCGTACTTGCCATTTACTAAGACAGGGAATCCAGGGGACAGAAATAACATGTTTTGTTTTGAATGTATTAAGTTTGAGATGCCTAGTACATATCCAAGTAGGGATATGGACTTCTCAGTTAAGCATATGAGTTTGGAACTCAGAGTTGTAGCTTGAGATAAAAATGTGAGCTTTACTGGCACAGGGATGCTCATTAAAAGCTTTTTTTCCTCAAAAAATTAAAAATGGAACTTCTGTTTGACTCAGCAATCCCACTTCTGGAATATATCCTAAAAAAACCAAAACACCGATCAGAAAGAATATATGCACCCCTATGTTCATAACAGCATTATTTACAATAGCTAAGATTTGGAAACAGCCCAAGTGCCCATCAGTAGATGAATGGATAAAAAAAGCTGTGGAACATTTACAGTATGAAATACTATACAGCTGTAAAAAAGAGGGATTTCTTACCCTTTGGGACAGCATAGATGGACCTGGAAAATATTATACTAAGTGAAATAAGCCAATCTGAGAAAGACAAATATCACATGATCCCACTTATTTGTGGAACCCAATGAGCAAAGTAAATTGACCAACAAAGTAAGACCCAACGCATGGAGGCATGGAACAGACTAACATACCTCGATGTGGGTTTACGGGGACTAGAAGAGATAAACCAAAGAACTTAAATAATTATATGTATAGCCCATGGACACTGGCAATAGGTTAGTGAAGACCTGGGAGTGTGTGGGTAGGGGCTGAGAAGAGGGGAGTAAAAGCAGGGTAAATGGGAAATATCTATAATATTATCAACAATAAAAATATATTAAAAAACAAAACCAAAAACCATGGTACTAGGTGAAATAAAATATGGAGCAAAAGTGGACATAAGAGGAGATGGGTCCGAGGAGTGAGCCCAAGGCACTCCTACACTAGTATTTAAGACTGAGAATAGAGGAAGGCCCAGAGAAAGAAGCCATAAAAGTAGCCATTGACTTAGAAGGAAAGCAAGGAGAGTATCATGTCCTGGGAGCATCTAAACACAAAAGTTTAGAAAAGTAGATAGTAGGCACACTAGCTGACAGTCTCCTTGCTCCTGAGTACCTGGAGCCTCGTCCCACCTACATTCCTTTCTGCATAACAGGTTCTATACCCAAGGGTTCACCTTAAATGTTCTGTTCTTTATTTTGTTCTTACTAGTATTCACTTCCTAGACCAGGGGTGGGCAAACTTTTTGACTCGAGGGCCACAATGGGTTCTTAAACTGGACCGGAGGGCCGGAACAAAAGCATGGATGGAGTGTTTGTGTGAACTAATATAAATTCAAAGTAAACATCATTACATAAAAGGGTATGGTCTTTTTTTTTTAGTTTTATTCATTTGAAACGGGCCGTAGTTTGCCCACAGCTGTCCTAGACTGTTCTTATCCTGGGCCATAGCATGCTTTTGATGTCAAAGACCAGGATCCTTGCCCCATATCCATTCAAAGTCCATCCTTGCTCTAGCATAACATTTCACAAATAAATTTACTAATAAACAAGCACCATATTTATCAACTAGAAGCAAATCAGTTTGCTGTATTCAACTAAAACAAAAGATACAACACAATACATAAAGACAATAAGGTAATTGTTCAGTAGTTACTTTCTGGAACATTAAATTAACTGGACCTTTTTCATATTTGTGAGAAAATAGTTAATAGTTAATGCTCATAATAATATCCTAAATTAATACATGGTCCCCAAAGCCTTCTTAGTCATTAAAGAAAAACTAATTACAGTGAGTATCCTTTAGGGTTAAGCATAATGCTACCTCATGTTCCAGTTCTTCCAGAATTAGAAATTAATGTGTGGTCGTATACTAGAATAATTGATTGAGCATAAAATAATATTTTCTAAACACAGCCAATAGGAGAATTTATTGGACTTGAATCAGCAGAAAGGAGAGACAGGAGACGTTTCTGTCCTGGGTTGTATATTGCTGTAGACTGTCAATGTCAACAAAAGAACATAGGTGAGGGTTCAGATCACAGTCTTTGCAGAGTAGTGGAATCGGTCTGGCTGAGCAGTGCATGTTTTAAGGCAGAAGTTGTCAGGAGAGTCTATAGACAGTAAAAGAAAAAAAAGAAGTTAGGAGGAGGTGAGATATCATAATGTGAGGAGTACACTGTGGGTCAGATTCAGTTCACATGGGTCAGCCCTGAGGCCTCATATCCTGGTGGGAAATTAATGACATAAAAGAAATGACAGCATAAGGAATGGTTCTAAGGTTCCACTAGCAGACTCAGAAAGTGTAATTGTCACACATGTGAATGCTTTAAATGCTCCCCTGCAGTTGTCCTTTACGGGTAGGCAACTATCTCTGGGCAAACCAGGGAAAATGGAGAGGTCCCTAAGAAACTAGAATTTGCCTGGAATACTGCAGATTTAGTGACTCCTCTGGCTCTAGACATAAAGGGGAAGAAGTTGAGAAAAAGTCGATTCTTAACTTTCATGCGAATGCTGCTTTTCATTCATTTGAAAATTCATCTTTACTGCAGTTCTACTAGGTTGGTCTGTAGAGAGAGACAGAGGTGAATACATCAAAATCTTTTCCTTCTGGGAAAAGAGAAGGATAAATGGGCAAGCCAGCAAATTCAATACAGAGACATGGTCTGGGTGTTGTTATGTAGGGAGGAGATGGCTGGCTCTGCACAGAGAGGAAAAAAAGATGAGGATCAAGTAGGGATTTCAAGAGAAGTTGATGGCTAAACTGATTCTTAAAGGACCACTAGAAGTTTTCTTGGAAGGTGATACAGGAGGAAGCAGTAACAAAAAAACAACAGTGGCATAAGAGATCAAGTTGCATCCTGGGGTGTGAAAGAACTTTGATGTGTTTAGAATGCTTACTGCATATGGGAAAGTGGTGTGAAATAAGGCCTGAGAAATAAAGACTACATCAATACAAATTTGGGGTTTTAATTGAGGAGTCAAAAAACAAACAAACAAACAAAAAAACACACATCAAAAGGATTTAGGTTGTCACTAATTTTATGTGGTCATTGACGTAGCTGGGGCTTTGGTTCTTAAATCCCTCCAAAGATTTATGAGGTTTGAACAGAAGACCTTAATTCGCAGAGTGATTTTCCTCAACACACAATTTAGCTAGTAATGGCCACTCCAGGAGCTAACTTTCAGAGTTCAGACAGGGAATGAAACCTCTTTATCATCCCTAGACTAGATGGTCCAATCATTCCTTTAATGAGTTTTATTGATTACTTCCTATGAATAAAGGACTTTAATGTCTTTTCTAAACCCATGAATGAAAACCTCTCAAAAGTGGGGCACTCACTTAGAGGCTGGAACCTCCAATATTAATTCTGTCCTAATGTATCAAGAAGAACAGAGTTTCTTATGGGATATGTATACTTCTCTCCAGGGAAGCTAACTGGGATAGAGGACATACAATGTTCCCTTGATCTCTGAGCATCTAGGAATAGTCCTCACCCATTTTCGATTTTCTAATATAATTAACTTTCCATTTATCTATCGTGTTCACTCCATTTCCTATAGCACCAAAGCTAATGCCTACTGCATATTAAGTACACATTAAATATCAGAAGAGGTGAGTGAACCAGTAAATCAATGAATAAAAATTATCAGACTATTTTCTCTGATATTGGGTGCATTTTATCTATAGCAAACAATATTAGCAATGACAGTATCAGGCATTATGTGTAACATTCAAAGTTTTAAAACATATAATAATACTATTTTCTCTGAAAACAGAGAGAGCTCATTAA